TTTGGACAACAGCTAACAATGATGTACGATCACCAAAGTACAAAACTAGAACAAAATAGGCTAATGAACTCCCACCAAACAAGGTGACATGATGAACAACGCAGCTAGGAGCTAACGTTAGGCTAACTTTAGCTAACGTTAGCTAGAGATGTTAAAGATAACTTTATATTTCTTTCCAGCAAAGTGACAATATGTTGCCTGAAACACAATGTTGACTTACCTTAGAACAGATGTAGACATCATTGTTATTCATGCATCATCAATCTTATTCACGTTGAGTTGATGTTGTGGTCTAACGTTACCACACAGCTTTATCCAAAGGAGACACTTTTCTCGGTTGAGATGTGGTTTAAAGTGTAAAAAATACACCTCATCGCCCAGCCTCTCAGGATACCTTGTGTCGGAGTTGCATGTACCCCATGCACACCGTTTGACCATTTTTAAACTTCAAATCTCAGAAAAAGCTCATAAAACCGAACGAAACTGACTTTCTGTAATGCATTTCAATGAACATTTCAGGCAGAGAATGTCCGAGTGTATGGGAATGGCTATATGCACTGTGATTGGCTCATTGCGTTTGAGGGCGGGGCTTAGCCATAGGTCAATTGGACCGCTGCATGAGGCACTTCACTTGCCTGAACACTTAATGTCAAGCCCTGGTTCCTCTTATTTCACATCATTCTGCATTTTTCTTAAAAATGAACCAGTTAGTTGCCGGTTAAAGAATGTCAAGTTGTCCAAAGCAAAATAAACCGAAACTGACATCCCAAGTCGTCACATATCGCAGCTTTGTCACTGGCCTTTCACATGTACATATTACACACTAGGTTATGCACTGTTCCAGTATGCTGTAACCAACACTGGGACATCAACAAAAGCACATGGGTTTAGAAAAATTATCAAGGTTTGGCTCTACGTTCATACACCAGGCTCCTGGATGAAAGTCCAAGGTTTGTTGGACCCATTCACCACCCATCCAGCCTGCCCTACCTATAGGGACTTCACAGCTCCTTCTAATACCGTGTTACCAGCAGCATCTCAACCTGACGCCATCCAGTGCCGCCAGCACAGCCTCTAACAGTGTAAAGTCCGGCCGCATTACAAACATACACCGCCCGGCAGTGTATTGCACCGCCGCAAAAGGTGGCTTTTGGTGTCAGGTGTTTGACATTGATGCCACTGACAAAGCAGCGATATCTGACGACTTCAGAATGCGAACAGGCTGGACATCCCTACTGATATGACTTTCAGCATAGTCCGTATGTCACATTAAGTGATCATGGTGCCTGAAATTCCTGGTGTGGTTTGGCTGAGAGACATATCAAACTACAATGTCAACCCGAAACAATCCCAACCAGCCAGCTCATGTTCTTTCATAACTCAGTGACTGGGAAGGAGGTGCCAGAGGCAGACTTCAGCATCAGTAACCATGCCGTCTAAAACCTGGTTGTGAACTGGATCCAAAGGTTTGACCAAAAAAATAAATAAATAAATAAATAAACACAAGGTCCACTTTGCTTTCAACCACATATCATGGTCTTCATCAGCCGATGGATTCAGTTGTTGAGATGTTGGTGAGGATTCTTAGTCATCCAGGTCATGGTGATCTTAAGTGCTATATCGCAGGCAACTGGACTTGCTTAAGTTTATTGAAGACGTTTCAGCCTGCGACTCTGCACCAGTCCATTTGAACTGAAGAAGCCTCTTGGATGAGAGGTGAAACATCTTCAAGAAACTCGAGCAAGTCCAGTTGCCTATGATACAGTACTTAAGATTAGACATAAAAGCCCTCAGAAAAAGTGACGATATGTGACGACGTGTTGTTTTATCATGATAATATTAATCATTATCTACATTAGATGAATACTGGATCTGATTATATACATTTTTTCACCTTTTTCCACTCTATCTCACAGTCTTCATCAGACCTATAGTATATCTGGATGGCTTCTAAAGGGTCCTGCTTTTTTAAATAAGAGTTCAATCTAACCTCTGCAATTTTCCGCTACTTCCGACTTCCTATTTTTACTCCATCAAAATCCTCGGTTTGTGACAGCCATGAAAAGAAGATTCACACACCTCTTCTAAGATATTCACCACAAACAAAAACTGTTAACGCCTACTTGACAAAATGATTGCCCTCATCCCACTATAAACAGAGCAGAAATGAGCTACAATTAAAGGTATGAGTCATTGACCCCCCCCCAGTAAATCTGCTCACATAAAAGCTCTGTTTTCAAGGCATTTCTTTTGAGACAGATGAATCTGAGCTTTGATTCAAAGTGGGTTTACAAAGGCCTGCCTGTACAAAACGGCTATTGTAAGAGGAAAGCTATAGGCCCGGCAGTTACGTTGTTGCATGTAAACATCTCTTCAGCATATATAATGTCAGCTTTTGTTATACCAACTTGTGAATTTCAGGAGGTTAAACTCTTCAAAAGCGGAAACAAAGCATTGAAGCAAAAATGTTGATCTCTAATTTTCTAACACAGTTCAGAAGTCTTCCCTGCAGCTAACAGACTGCAGGCTAACCGCGGCCAGCTGGCTGCGTGCTTGCTTTAAGCGCTCCACCCTGCTGTAGCTTCGCATCAATCAGTAAAGTCATATGCATTAGCATTTCAGTGAATTCAAAGAAACACACAGGTGATACTTTTTTTATTTTTCCCTTTTTGTAGCCCTCTTTTCTCCCAGCACCTATCCTTTCTTCTTCGCTCCATCTTATACTTGCCAATTTCTCCTCTTTATTTTAACCTCTCTCCTACTCTCCTTTTCTTGTTTTCTTCATACCATCTCCCATTCACCCACCTCCTCTCTCATACGTCTCAGAGAATGAGAATAAGAGGGGTGAACTGGAGCATGTCAACACTAGAAAGAGAAAGACTCGGAGCGGGAGAGAAAAATAGAGATAATCAGACTGAAGCATGTCCGCGTCATTTGCAATTACCTGCCGTTGCTACGTTACAACTAAACAAAATCACTGCCTGCCATTAGCCATAGTCACCCCCATATGTGCCTTAATACTATGGATGGCTATTAGAGCACAGAACAAAATAATTGACATTGAAAGGGGAAAGGGAAAAAAGCAGATTCAATTTTGGTGACATGTACTTTGACAGTGGCTCACATGCTGAGCCATGGTTGTGCTGATGTGAACGGCTTGTAGATATCACCTGATATTGGCATTTACAGTATTTCTTATATAATGTTTTGATGTGGCAGTATGCAAGATCTTTGATTTATGACTATTATTAAAATGTAGTCACGTTTTTAGTCAGCTCATTCAAAAATTGAGCTGTAGATTAAATGCAACTTAAAAGAATCTGGAAAGGCCTGTGACACCTAACATCTAGAGCTGCAATGATTAATCAATTAGTTGTCAACTATTAAGTTAATGACCAACTATACTGACAATAAATAAGTCAGTTTGATTAATATTTTGAGGGTGAAGAAAATACAAATTCTCTCCTTCCAGCTTCTTTAATGTGAATATTTTGTGGTGTCTGTACTCCTCTGCGACTGTGAACTGAATATCTTTGGGTTGTGCACAAAACAAGACATTCGAAGATGCTCCTGGAGACACAGACCAACATTTTTCTCCATTTTCTGACATTTTACAGACCCAAAACCAATCAATTGATTGCGAAATCAATCGTCAGATTCTGTGGTTTCAGTCGTGGTTGTACTTTTTCCCCACAACACTTTATTTAAGCTAACAGCTAAAAACACATGCTCGTGGGCAGCGCAGGTCACTCAGGTTTGTTGCAAAGGAACTATTAGTTTGAGATGGAGTGCTCTTTAGATAAAAAATATATATATTTAAATTATGCTTAACCTCGAGTACTCAGCGCTCTGAGTGCTTTAAAACATTAAAACATCCAACAACCATCAAACTAAAGTGTGTTCTTTCCAAGAGAATGTGCGGCTTTAAACCATGTTGACATTGCTCTGATTTTTGCAAATTGACTTGTGGAGGTAAACATCAGCGCAGAGCAATGTGAATCGCTTCAAGGTAGAGTGGAGTGCATTGTTGTAGTTTTAGGGAGCCTCCTCTTCTGGGCCAACCAATCACCAGGAAGACGAGGCAGAGGGTTTTACGTATTTCAGAGTAACTAGAATGGAAACAGAGACAGTGATCAAAGACTTTCCATTGTCAACCTGTTGTCATGGGAACAGTGTTTGTCCCATCACTCTTACTTCTTTAAATAATATTTGTTACAAAACTGCATTGTGGAGTCGAGGACAAAATGTTTATTACTGGGTTTTTTTCTTCTGCCATGCCCATTCAGCTCATCTAAATAGAATTAATTCAAAATGAGTGGCTGAATTAAACCATCCTGAACCAAACCTTGTGTGTTTGCTCTTTCTGAAGGTTTTTAACATGGAATCAGTCAGTGAGAAGTTGTGAGTGAATTATTAGTCAGATTTTAGGGTCATAATTTGTGATATTGTATTTCTGGTTTGGTTTAATGTACTGGAAGAGAATCATTGTATTTTTGGGTAAAAGTAACCACTTAGTATGTTTACATGCACAGTTACGTGGAGCCATGGTTACAGCTCGACTAGACCATCTAATTGGACTCCAGTCCGTGTCCCAGTGTTCAGGCACTGGAGGGGAATTGATTTATTGACCAAAGTGTGTATGAATCCCCTACAATAGGTGGCGATGTGCCCCCTTTCAGCTTGTTAGTATTGGACCTTTTTCTAGTTGACCTATTGCATCACAGACCAAACACTCGACAAATGTGTCGGCTACAGTTACCTAGCAGCGAACTGGTACCATAGTGTTTTCCTACAGGTTGATTGGTAGGTAATTGTAAACATGGGTTATTTTAAGAGTTTTAACAAACAACCGGTGTTTTCGTATTTGTGTTTCAGACAGTCACCTAACTTTGGGCCTGATTAGTTCTTCACTGGTTCCCCATCCAATCAGTTAGCTGCTCCGATCTGTGGGTAAATGTAACTTTAGGCCTGTTGTATTTTTGTGCTATCTGACCCCACAGACGATCACACCAGAGTCCGACTGCAGCTGCTGGACGGAGACCCTCACTCTGACTACATCAACGCCAATTATATTGATGTGAGTGTTTACACACACAGACACACACACACACACTTGCTCATTTGTACTTTAATGCTTATGATGCACTGGCTGGAGAGTAAGAAGCTCTGACCCCACCTAAACCTCACTCTAATATTACAAAGTCCTAACCTCCCAGTAGCCCTTTGAGTAGGTGAGATCCAAAAAGATCCACTCACACACTGTCCTCTCTTTGGAGGTCTGAATTTATTTATTTTTTTATCTTTAAAAAGATGTGAATACAATTGCACACAGCAAGTAAAAGAGTGACTGTCAGTTTCAGGGACATGCTCAGTAACAATAACTAAAAATACAGATTTGATCCCTTTGATAGATAATTTGTGCTCAGAATGCTCTCTGTCAAGGTGCCTTTGGGCAAGACATTGAATCCAAACCTACCCTTGACTGCTTCTTTCAATAGGTCCTTTTTAGAAACAAATGGTTAATGGACTGTATCTGTGTAGCACTTGTCTAGTCGAAGGTTAGCTAATCAAAGCCATTTACACAACATGCATCATTCCCCCATTCACACAGCACAATGATACGCCAGCCTCGATGGCCAAGGCTTCCATACAAGGTGTCTGCTGCTCATCAGATAATGATGATGATACACACACTCACTTGAATGTTTTGTGTCTTGCTCAAGGACACTTCAACATCTAAACTGCAGGGGCCAGGGATCAAACCACTGATATTTCAATTGGTAGATGATGGCTCTACCTCATAGGCCACAGCTGCCCCAATAATAATATGATATAGAATATAAACAAAACAAAAATACAAACATGAAAGAAACTCCCTATATTAAGTCTCTACTCTTGTAAACATCTGATCAAACAGGGAAGTAGCTATTATCCATAATTAGCCAAGGTTGCTACAACAAATGGAGCCACCTGAGTCCCATCTCTTCATCAGTAACTCTTCAAATGTTATCTGTCCCTCACCTTCCCAATTTTTTTCCTTATATATCGACCCATCCATCCATCCATCCATCCATACATGCATCTATCCATACATCAATCCTTCTGTCCATCCATCCATCCACCCTTCCGTCCGTCCGTCCAGCCGTCTGTTCGTCCTTCTATCCACCTGTCCTTCCATCCTGCATCCATCCCTCCATTTATCCATCTGTCCGTCCATCCTTCCATCCATCCCTCAACCATCCTTCCATCCATCCTTCCATCCACCCGTCCTTCCATCCATCCCTCAACCATCCTTCCACCCTTCCATCATCAATACATCCATTCATTCTTCCAAACATCATCCATCCATCCCATCGTCCATCAATCTATCCTTTTGTCCTTCTCATTGTGCTTCTGTCCTGTTCCATCCTTCCATCTATTCTGCCATCCATCCATCCATCCATCCATCCATCAATCCATCCATCCATCCATCCATCTCTCCTTCCATCCCACTCTCCATCATCCATCCATCCATCTGTCCATCCTTCTGTCCTTCCATCCCGCTCTCCATCCATCCATCTGTCTGTCCGTCCTTCCATTCATCCATCCATCCATCCATCCATCCATCCATCCATCCATCTGTCCTTCCATCCCAATCTCCATCATCCATCCAGCCATTTGTCCATCCTTCTGTCCTTCCATCCTGCTCTCCATCCATCCATCTGTTCATCCATCCTTCCATCCTGCTCTCCATCCTTCCATCCCATCCATCCATTAGTTTCCTCTGTGCCCTCGGGGCCTGGTGCCTCAGTTATCACTTTAATCTCCCAGCTCACAGCTGACTGTTGTAATAATGGTCTTAATGAATTTGGTACATAATGCTTATTTTCAATCAGTCACTGCAGACGAGATTTTTCTCATAAGCAGAAAAAAATGTGGGGGGAGAATTAAAAAACAGAAACCGAAACAATACATCCCCTCAGTGAAGATAACGCCATATTCATAACGTGGTCTTAATGACAATATGAAAGTGATAAATGTTTTCATCTCAACAAGGTTATCTGTCTCACAGGGAGGTGCTGGGGGAGACGGGGGCTGTGCAGGGACAAGAGGGGGATAATCATTGGTTCGAGAGTCGTCGCTTTTCATCTGCCCCGTAGAGGGAAAATTAAGATCCCCTCTATTATTTAATTTGATGTTTATTCGGCAAACGACCTTGAGTTATGCCTCTCAGAGGAGTGGAGGGACTGGAGAGGGAGATGGGACAAATTAAAAGACAGAAAAGGATGGGAGGAGGAAAATGAAGAGAGGAGGAAGAAGGAGAGAAACTTACAGATGGATGGGAGGAATGGAAGGAATGAGAATCAAGATAGAAAGGGAGGATGCAGGAAAGGAGGGAGGAAGGTGGACAGAAAGGGAAGCAGAAATTGATTTAAAGGCGGAGTAAGAAGTAAAGGAGTGGGATGGGTGAAGAATTTTAAAAAGAGAAAGAGGAAGGAATCACTTCAGCGGCAAGAAGGGGGAGGTATGTCAAAAGCAAAAGAAGAATTAGGAAAAGAAATGATGGAGGAGGGAAGAAAAGATGGATTAGAAAAAGGAGCGAGAGAAGCAGCAACGTAAAGAAGTCAAATTGTACAAAGCCTCAAGTGACAGAAAAGAAATAAACTGATAGGAGAGCAAGAAGACAGGAGATAAGGAGATGGGGAAAGGTGACAGAGGAAAGGAGGGAGAGAAGGATGTGTTCATCTTCCGCTCTTCCATCCGTCCAACCCTCCACCCATCCTTCCATTCATCCGTCCATCCATTCGTCCTTTCATACGCTTGCCCTTCCATCCATCCATCTGTCCATCCTTCCATCCATCCATCATCCGTCCTTCCACACACTGATCCATCCATCCATCCATCCATCCATCCACTGTTCCATCCTTTCATTTATTTCTTTGTTGTATTTTACCCTTCTGGGAAAGAGGAAAAATGGACAGCCTGGGAAAAAGGGATGGAAGAGGGAAGGGAGAGAAAAAAGAAATCTAGAAAGAGGAGGTGAAAGACAAAAATAGAGATTAAAAAAGAGACGAGAAAACTGAAAACAGACAAAATGAGGACAACATGGAGTAAAAAAGGGGGAATATTTGAAGAAAAAGGTGGAGATGACGAAAGTGTGGAGATTTTTATGCCTCACTTTTTTTTCCTGTCTCACAGGGGTACCATAGACCCAGACATTACATCGCCACACAAGGTAATTAAACTGACGTGATGAGTGTGTGTGAGACCAGTGTATGTGCATTTCTGCATTTGTGCAGATGTGACTGCACGCCTGTGTGTGTGTGTGTGTGTGTGTGTGTGTGTGTAGCAGCCACCTGGTAAATGTCGTCCTTTCGGGCTAGAAGGCTATTACCACAACCTCCTAAATCTAAACCGCCGTATAAAATCCCCCTGACAAATTTAAGACCCCATTACCTCAAACCCCCGAATCACTATCTGGGATTGATAGTGTGTGAGTATGCGTGTGTGTGTGTGTGTGTGTGTGTGTGTGTGTGTGCGCGCAAGCGTGTGTGCCTCCCCGTTCATGTGTTTATGTATAAGTCTTTGCTATCAGTGCTGATGTATTTTTATGTGACGTTGGAATGAGTATGTATTCATACATACATACACCTGTGTGCATCTGCTCTGTTTGTGTGTATTGGAATGTTTAGGAATCTAATTTGTGTGTGTGTGTGTGTGTGTGTGTGTGTCCGTCAGGGCCCATGCAGGAGACAGTGAGGGATTTCTGGAGGATGGTCTGGCAGGAAAACTCAGCCTCTATCGTCATGGTTACCAACCTGGTGGAGGTGGGCAGGGTGAGTTCATCATCTAAGAGATTTTAATGTGTGTGTGTGTGTGTGTGTGTGTGTGTCATGTTTCATTTTATTTTATCAAGTCTTGGTTACATTTACAGTCCAATCAAAATGAAACAAATATTAAAAAAATAAAATCTATATTATGGCAGATTTGCTGATGATGTTTCATAGTTGCAGTCAAGTGGCAAACTTACTTTATAAAATTATCAGGGATGTCCCGCTCCAGTCTCACAGATCAGTATTGGGGCTGATCAAGTCATGTTTTGAATGATCAGTATCGGCTATATTGAGCTATACAGAGTCCAATCCAATCCTTTGTTTTACATCAGCTGGCACACAGGTGTTTTTAATAGCAAAGCTTTCATGCACAACAACACAATTGAATGCAGCCGTCGTCAGCTCTCCAACTCTCTGCTGCTCTGTCTGTCTATTTTTCCACTCTGCTGAGCTTCCATGTGTGTGAGAACTAGCCCCCGCCCACCACAAAACACCACACATTATAAACGAGAATGCAGTATGAGACTAATTAGAAACCGTATATACCAAAGTTACCTGCACTTGTTTCATTTTAGCTGCTCGGAGGAGAGACAGACACACTCACCACATCACTACAAATGCAACAAAAGCCCCATGAGCAAAAAGACTATAAGATTATTTTCTGAATGTAAAATAATCTGCGCAAAAATAAACACCCATTCGGGTTAACTCAGCAAACAAACACTGGAGAAAACTCCCTTAAAGGGACAGAGACATTTCCATGGCGTAAAAGATTAAAGAAAGGGTTTGTTATTTTGTAAATAAAAATAATATTCCTAATAATAATAATGATGATAACAAAAGACTTTAACACTGAAATATGTTGTTAGTTAGTTAATTCCAAACTGACCCAATGTATGATGTAAAGTAAAAAATAAGTTTAAGAAACAGAAGTTCTTGGTTTAAGCACTGAGGTGACCAGGTTAGTTACAGAAGCTGGATCACACAGGTAATCAGAGAACATGTCTCATGCCCTGTAGTAACCTGGTTACTGTCAGTCTGTGTGCTCATGCAGCAGGTCAGTGACCAGGTTACGTAACCAGGAAAAAAAAAACAGAAAGGCATACTTGTCCACTGCAGTGACGTGCACACAGCTTTAGTTTACTGGATTAGCAAAAAGAGTCTATCGCTCATTTTAGCAGGTTTCCCTCAGAAAGTTAAACATGCGTGCTAACTTTGGCGGGAAAAGGGTGTTAGTGATAAAAGATGCTGTGTTGGTCCCAGTTAGCCAGATTCAGTAAATGGCCAAATAAATCTGTGTTCTCCAGAAGAAATCTAGCTGGAGATTCTCTAATCTTGTATGAATATGTAAACTGTGTTTCTCATTTACACCTTCTTGCTGGAGAAAGCCGAGTGTAACCCAAAAAAGCATGTAAAGAAGAAAGCACTGACTGTTGTTGGGAGGGGATGTGAACTCTGATCTCCAGTATAACCTGTCCACCAAGACCTCCTCCCTGGGGACATCATGTCTGTAGTGTTTTTATATCAGCACATAAGAACATCACGCTGCTCCCCTGCTGTGCTTCTGAATATTAAGTTGGATTTTGTTAACAGTTTTGATGTTGTTTGGTTTCTTGGAAGGTCAGTGTGAGCAGTCTGATATTTCAGCGGTCACAGTCTTGACAGTCTCACAGAGCCAAACAAAAAAAAGTCCACTTGAACAATAATGAAACTGGGAACCAATTGTTTACACCAGTCAGATGCTGTAGGTGGCGGAGGCAGAAAACCAAACAAAAAGAATTGCAACATCATTGGAACAAAAGCCTGGCGATGGTTTTCATGACTCCAAACAGCTGTATCCAGATGTGTCGTCTGGTTACAAGTAGTATCATCACATCTGGCTCCACAATACTGCAGCCTTGGGTTTTCTTTAGTGGGAGCTTATAAATAACTTCATAATGTTATAATCAATATACTTATAAATGTCCAGTGGCTCATGTGTGTTAGGTTGCAATTTATCATGAAGGAGAAGCAATCTTATTATTTATCTATTGTATTATTCATGGTGATGATCTTGACCTCACTTTATCTCACTCTGTTAACGCTCATTGGGTGATAATGACCTGCATGTGTTGCTTATTTAACTTCATTGTATGAATGTAAATTGTCTTTTCCAGGTGAAGTGTGTGCGTTACTGGCCTGATGAGACAGAAGTGTATGGAGACATCAAGGTGACCCTGATAGAAACTGAACCACTGGCTGAGTACGTCATAAGGACATTCACCGTCCAAAAGGTAAACAAGTAAACACCATCAACAACAATACAGTGTCCATTATGGCAACTATTTTAGATTTAGTCCATAGAAAAAAACGCTTATTAGCTTTAGTTACATTTTAGTCATTTTTATCCGTCATAGTTTTAGTCTAGTTCCAGTCGACAACAACTCACATTTGACTGATGAAAAGTAATTTAGTCAACTTTTACTCAAGGTGTTTTTTTTTCCTGGAGCAACATCACTTTCCTGTGCTGCTATTTAAACCTTTGAACCCTCAGCAAACTGGTGCAATTTCTTTCAAAAACATGGAAAAAAGGCAGTGATCAACTTGGTAATAAATGTTCCACAAATAGATTCAGAAAATTATATTAAAAAAAAAAGAAATAAAATAGAAAAATAAAAAAGAGGGGGAAAGCTAGGCAAAAACTATATTTCTATTTGTTATTATTAAATTTTAAAATTGTTACAGATTTAAAAAAAAAAAAAAAATTTAAGCATTTTTTCCAGGTCAATTCCTAGTTTTTTTGTTTTTAACTTTATGTCTTTTATTTTCTATTTTCTATTATTTTATTTATTTCTTTTAAAAAAAAAAGAATTATTGTTTTTAATTTTCTCTTTTTACTAATTTCTTGGATTTTTTTTGGGTCACGGCTTTCACTGCCCATTGCCTTCTTCCCATGTTTTGAAAGAAATCAAGCCAGTTTGCTCAGGTTTCAAAGGGTTCAACCGATCCAAATAGGCTAATGCAGGTATCAGAAATTAGAATCAAGTTGACATTTAGCTGTTTTTTTTCTGCAGCTACAAACTTTTTTCAGCCTCAGTTCTTTTTAAATCTGCAACATGTTAGTCTGGAGGTTTAAACTTGTGTCCTCTCTCAGAGTGGGTGATTAAAACTAAACTTTCAGCTCTGTCAGAAAGAGCTTAGCTGAGGTCAGACTGTTTACTTACAACACAGCTACACTCACAGATAACCGAGCCTCATACCTTCCCTTTCAAACAGGAAACACCATAAACCTTCTTGTGACAGTCCTGCGTAGATCCGGTGGCTGGTGGCTGCTTGCTCTGCTGCCATTTAACAGCGAACAAGTGGAGCTAGCTGCAAACAGCCACCGCTGCAACTAACAAACTCCACAAATCCATTCAGTAGCTCCACCATCCACAGTCAGACACACACAGCTGTTTATTCACTGCTGAATTACTGCTCGCAACTCGCGCTAATGGCTAATGCTGTTCTGGGCTGAGTGTTTTGCCAGCTAGCAAAACAGCCTGGTGCTGACTGTTTACTGGAGTTTACAGCGCCAGTCACTGCTCTGATCTCATATTGCTCATCTGACATTAGAAGATAATTGAAAGCACCGCAGTTATCAGCTTCCTACTTTTTCTAGTACGTTTGATAAAATAATTTATCATGATCTCCTCCTGTCTGATTTTGAATGTCCGATAGTCCACCATAAACATTTTTGTCCTGTCTCGTCAACCAAAATGAAACATAGATTTCATCATAGTTTTCATTATCAAGATCTATTTTCAGCTACTCAGTGTCTCATGTTTGTCATCATAGTTTCTGATAACAAATCAACACTGCAACAACAACAAATAATAGAATAATAAAACAATAAAATAACGTGGTATCAACATTTTGTGACTCCACCTAATAAAACATTTCCCATAACACCCCAGGTGGGATCTGAACCCTGTTGTGCTCTCTAGCTGCTCAGTCACCCTCATGTCACTTTATGCTTCAATTTTTTCTAAACCTAAAACCTGGATTACCATTACAGCAAATGTGTGATTGGGGATTTGAGGCGAGTGAGAAGTGTTACTTGTTTGTTTCTTACTGTTCAAGAGGAGGCTTGAATCCGTAATTGGGGCCTTTGTAATCAGGCGGGGGGGATTTGAGAGGAGAACAAACGAGTGCGAGTGGAAGAATGTTCCATCATTGTTGTGATGCTGTTCTCTAAGGCTCGGCACAGTAAACAGAGAAACTGTGGAAAACACTTCACAATAAGAGAAAAGGGCTCTGATCCAAATCTTTGATTCTCTAAACTATGTGTACATCTTCTTTTGAGTCTTGTATGTTTTTTATGTTGCTTTTCAACTCCACGTTAGACGCCTTGTTTCTTTATTATTTCCTTACATTTAAGTCTGTACTCAGTAGAGACAGCGGTACTTTACATGTGATCATAAATAGCTTCTTCACATATGACGTCATACATCAGTGTGCTGTCCAGATGGAGGGGAGGCAACTGGTGACAAAGACTATCAACACTGCACAAATGTCTATGATTTGTGCTGTTTACAGCTGTTCCAGTTGATCAAGTTGGGAAGAAACAAAGGCCACTTTAAGTCCCAAAAATAGTAGGATGTAAAGGGGAGAAGGAAAAATTTATACTCATTAAAAAATGGCGGCAGATGTGGATCAAAAACCTCCGTCTTCAGTCTGGAGGAGAGGAGTCGACTAATGTTAAACGTTAATGTTAAAGTGTTGTGTTAAACATGCCTCAAGTGCAATAACATGTGCTTTGACAACTTCTCCATGTTTATAGCCACGACTCAGGTTTTAAAAAGCATTAAAGTAAAAGTAGCTAACGGTAGCTAATGTTAGCTAGTATCCACATATATCCCAGACGACAGTGCATCCATGTACAGAACTGAAATATAAAGGTGCTTTCACACTTGAAGTCCGGTTCACTCGGTCACACAAGAGGAAAAAAATGTGTTCCTGTTCACTCTGACTTTTTGCAAACAAACCAAAAGGAGTCAACATGAGGTTCAGCCAACTGACAGGTAGCTGGTTGATTGGGCATTTTTGGTGTACAAGACATATCTGCTATCAAAAAATCATGTGGTTGGTTTGTTTTCTTTCACACCACAAATGAACCGCACCAGAGTCCATTTGGAAGCAGACCGAGACCCACCTTTTCAAGAGGTCTTTGTTCAGTTGTTCGGCTGGTCTGCTCCAGGGTTCGATTGACGGCTTTTACACCAGCCCAAACAAACCATACTAACCGCGTGAATGGACCTGGGTTCGTCTTAACTGAACCAAACAGGTTGTGTGAAAGCACCTTTAAAGACAGTTATACTCGAGCACATTTACTCACCCGACCAAAAACAAGACAGCAGTCGTTTCAATCATGGAGCCAACCGCACACAAAATGGTTGACCACTTGACTCCTGTACATTTTCAGCTGCTCGCTGTGTAACAGTAACGTCAGGAGGTCTGGATGACGAGGTAGTTTGTAACGATGATCGTGTCCACACTGAGCAAATCAGTCAAGTTTTGGGGAATATCACTTTTCTTTGTTTCATATGGATCATATCTAACAGGAGTTTTCATTTTCTGATGATACCTGCTGCCTGCAGGTTCATCCAACCTTTTATGTAGTCACAATCCTCTATTTCCAGTTCATGCAGTATATGGATTTACCATTTCCTTCCCTCCATCTGAATTTTGGGCATCATAATAGTCATGTGATTGCAAACAAGCTATTAATAATTATTAAAATCATGTAGAAAACACTATACACATTTATGATCAGACACCTAAAGTCTTGCCCTTTCCTGCCTGCTGTCTTTCTATACCTCCGTCTGTCCCTCTCCTTTTTCCATCCTGTATTTCCATCCCCCTTCACTCGTGCGAAAGCAGCTTATGAAGACGAGTCTTCAAGTCCTCGCTGTCAGCTCGTTTAGCAAGCCATTAATCCATACCACCTCTGCGCTCGTGTGTGAGCGTGTGTGCACAAGTACTCCAAAATTCAAAGGAAGGCTGACTTTGAAAGGCCTGTCATTTTGCAGGATGCATTAATACGTACAAACACACACCAGGAACACACACTCTTTGATACAAAATTCTCCATCTTTTAACTACAGTGGGTTCTGTGACTGTGTGTGTGTGTGTGTGTGTGTGTTGTGTGTGTGACTGAGTGTGAAGAACAAAGAGGAAGTAATACAGAGGGGGACAGAGAGAGCGAGAGAGTATACAGGTTCTGCACTGCAGTTAAATAGCTTTAATTGCAATGAATAATGAGAACAGGGTCTTAATGAAAAGGTTTATTAATGGCATGTCCAAGGAGATTAACTAAGCAGAGAGGAAGAGAGGGCGACGGAGTGAGACTCAAAGAAAATCTGTGTAAATGTGTGTGTGAGAAAGTGAGAAGAAGGAGAGGTGAAAAACAGGGAGCTCACACACACGTTCATGTTTAAGTGTCAGAATTAGTCGAACAATCATTGTGGGTGAGAGAGGAACTAACTTTTGTGTGTTTCTGCTTACCAGTCAGAAAAGTTTTAATTCCAACGTGTTCAAGACTGTGACTCAGCTTCCTGCTACAGACCATCAATCTACCATGGCTGACCCATCTCACTCTGACTACCTGCAGCTCAGCTTATATGAGACAGGGCCCTATAAAATCTGTTTACATTGGTTTAAATCACCAGCAGATGGCAACATGAAATATGTTGTATATAAGTATGTTCATTTTAAAGCCGATATCTGCTGATACAAATGACATGCCAATATTATTGTGCATCACTAGACAGGATTTGACCGAACTTGGCTGACCATGAAAAACATGCCATCAAGCTAGCTGTCCTCACATCGCCAATGATCAAATGATCAAACCTGCCAATGTTAAAGTTGGAGACAGACAAAGGTAAAAAGCAAAGTCTCGGCGCAGATCCAGCGTTCCTTCAGTGTCAGCCTTGCTCATAAAAGAGCTGAGCCCTGCCCTCGGTGAAACTCACCAAGAGCGGAGGACGGAGGCTGCGTGCCCAAAACTGACACCAAAATATAGCAGCACAGTAAATTTTCTATTGAAAAAAATACTTTAAGTGGCAGAAAAAAAACACTGCTTTTATAAATTGCATCCACAATTTGGCAAATTACACAATATTCCGCATTTTACGGCTTATTCCGTTTTTATTATCAAATCTGCCTGTGTAGTCTGCATTGCAGAATTCACAGGGCCTTGTATGAGACTCTTAACCCTTTGATATTTCTATTTCACTCTTGTGCTGCTTTC